TCTTTTACTAGTTCTATCTCATTATTAGTATTAAGGAGTTAGTTGAATTTTATGATACATCTAACACTATAATTTTGCTTTTTTGAATTATTTTCTTAAATATGAAATGTAATATGTACTTTACTACTAAATATCGATTTTATTACGTTTATTTGAATAAGTTCGAGAATATTAAGTAAGTTTATTTGGAGTTATAATTTTAATGTATTTTATGAATGTATTGTGTTTATATCTGACCATAGTTGGGGCTCGGACCGGTCCAGCAGCTGTGTGTTTGTCATTCTAATGGAAACGAGATCACTTTACATATTTAAGGATTTTTAAACATTTTAGGGCACCGTCTATACGCAGTTTGTGTCTTTTATTTGGTTCTTTACGTGTATATTTTATTGAAATTTTATTTGTGAGAGTAAAATTCTCTTTACAAATAGTTACAGTTATTTTAAAATATCGTTTTATTTAATATATTAAAAGATATGTAATTTAATTACAAACTTTCCCAACTTTTATATGTTCAATGGATAAAACAATAGATTATATCCAGGCACAAATTTTTGAAAGTTGTTAATTATCGTAACTATAAATATATTTTTAGTTCTTTATTGCTTAATTGTGGTTGACTTTAATTTTTATAAATAGCATGGTTTTTTTGAAAAATCGGTAGTCTTAAAATTTTATTTCTTCTACTCTACGCTAGATGACATCACTAAAAAATTCTGATGGTGGCGCCGTGTTATGTAAATGGCGGTACTAAAATCTCAAAAGCGGACTCGCGCAGACAGAAGCAAAACTAAAACTTCTTCTACCCACCAACAGATGGCGAAACTTTACTTTTAGTCGTATAAATTGAAAAAATTCAAAACTTGACAATTTAGGATACACGTAAAGAATTTATCTGCGTAAAATATGAATTTGGAATTTTATTGCTTGATGATGTTTATTTATAATGAATATTAGGAGATTAAAATTTACCAAATAAGCTTGTGAAAGTTTTAATTTGATTACAATGAGAATTAGTCTGAGAAAGCTCATGTTTTCGGAGTTGTTTTATATAAACTTCTACTGTATATAGTTATCGTTAATGTAATTGAATATTTTCTTGCCTCACCAACTATTTGAGACATATTAATTTAACTACCTTAAATCTATAACAGCGTCCGATCTTCCACTTACTAGTCAGCACTCCTTTGAAAAACGCAATTTTTCGCGCCAACGGAGCGTTCTAAAGAAAATTACTGAACGGACCTGGCCTAAATACATTGACCGCATTTTATACAATTCGTGAACTTTCTAATATCTTTAGCCCTCAGTAATAAGGTTGTATATTCGACGGAAAAGGCTTTATAGCTATTGTGTTTTATTTTTGCACTATATTAGGCATTATCTGTGCAGCCATGACCTGCTAAACACTAATGCGGTTACCGATCCATATTAAGGTTAATTTTCGCTTAGTGAACCTTTAGTGTAGTTAAGTTTTATTTTGGAAGAATTTAGGAGAGTTATTGACGTTCAATATATTACTTTCAATCATTATTTTCGTTTTTTTTTCATAACACACGTTTAGTTTATATGAAAAAGATATATATAAATAAATAACTTATATATGTATATTCAAGCCTACAACGTGATATCCGAAGCGTGTCTTCACGCTACGTTCCGATTTGAATTCTGTTTAATAACATACAAAAAATGCATTGTATGTTTATGAAATTTTGCCAAATTTCAGCGAAGGGCCACCTGATTTATGTCCGCTTCTTCCGACGTCCGTCGTCATTATGCTAATGACGGCCGTGTTAAAAGGGTTCCAGTTAATTTTTCATTCATAGTCTACTATCGGTGTGTTTTGGATCGCTTCTTTGAATGGAGAGGTTTTTTTATTTAGATAATTGCTAATTTAGCAAAATTTTACGATGGTCTCTCATTCAGAACTAAATTATTGTATGAATTTGTATGTATTTTAATTACGAAACAAATGTTCTATGAAGTTCTCAATAAGTTTTAAAACATTAGTTCATATATAAAGTCATTACTATCTAGAATGTCACTTATTTTGTAAAATTTTAACATATTTTATTGTCTTTTATCATAGATTTCGAATTAAAGCTTTAAACCAAGAAGTAAGCTCATAATTTTGTTATTTTTCTTGTTTTTAAAATATTTTCACGATTTTTATCTAATTTAACAGTTTACCCTATTGTTGTCGTTTTTAATATTACATTTTTTTATGAATATAGTAAACTCTCATCAAATATTACATAAAATCATTCAAATGTTATTTTGCGTTATTCCAAAAACACTTTACATTGTAATATTAAATTTCGTCTATCAATCATAAAATATAAACTAAAAATTCTATTAACAAATCAAATTTCAGATACCATTAGAGCTATAGAACAGTTAATACCGCCATTTTTGACACAATCCTTTTACTCTTGTTTTTCGATTAATATTCTTATTGGAAGTTCATCTTATATGTTTTTCATTACTAATAAGTTTCTAATTAATTTATGTGTTCATTATGTTTAGTTCTTTTTTTATATAATTTCTTTCTTTAAATAAACCGTGAATGTTATAAGTATAAGTAATTATAAACGAATCATGTATATGTTTTTCTATAATATGTAGTTCACGAGAATATTGATGAAGGCCCCGAAATATGAACACATAATACAGAACTAAACCCACACATAGACAGATAACTCACACATAGATAGATAAGAGGGGTGTCTTTGTTACATTAAGGAAGGGCACGAGGGTAGGGGTTGGTTGTTTTGTATTCAGCTCTCTCGTCCACTATTTCGCGGGACTTGGACATCTCAGTGTAATGTCGGCTACGGAATTTCTTTATTACTGAACCTTTATTGCTCTAGATTCCAGCCGATTGCTCCTTAAATATACCTGAAATAAAAATATAAATGACATAAACGATTCATATGGTAAATTAATTGTGGAAAAGAAAGTGAATAATTTACATAATTCCTTAAAAGCGTAAAGGCAGACATAAAAAATTGTTAGACTCAAAACGGAATGGAGTCCTTACAAGAAGACAATTTTATGCAAATCACTTTCCGCCGCTTTAGCATTCTACCAACAAAATTGAAATAGGGCTGACGACTTTCAATTCCCACTGTTCTTATTAAATTTTAATATTATTATACAGTTAATTCTTATTTTTTTACTTTTAACTTCATTCTAACCTGTTTATTTTCCGCGAAAAGTATATCTTATGATAGGATGTCATTGAAAATTTATTTTATAAGAGAAGTAATATTCTTATTTTAGATAGTTTGAACAATAAGACGTGAATTCATTCTTTATTTAAATAATGGTAACATTAAAATACTTCTTATATAATCTATGAGATTATTATAAAGTTTATATTAAAATCGATATCAATAAATTAGAACTCTAAAAAATTTTCTAACGGGTAACCCTGGATCGCGTTAAAATTATTTTCTCTGGAGTTTTACTTACGAGCGTATTTTTCTTTATTTTTATGCAGTTCAGTACTACAACAATACGGTAACACTGTTCATTGATTTTGACAATGACAAGACAAAAAGGTTCCTCATACTTTTAAATTAAATTTACATTATAGTAATGATAAATTTACTTATTATATTTACTGAGTGGTATTATTTTAGCTACAATATACATACTAGGACGAAAATGGGGGAAGCAGCTAGCTAGTTCATATTTTGTAAATAATCTTTGATTTCATAATTATGTACGTGGATACGTACACAATTTAGAGCTTAGAGTAGACTAGACTTAACGTAAGCTAAATACAAATATAATCTGATGCACGCGCTACACTATCGTGGAACTGGGATTTTACTTATTTTAAAATATATATGTAGATATGACATATCAATTTTGAAACTTTAATTATTGTAGACTAGAAGACCTGGCGAACTTCGTATCGCCCTATGATCAAGAAATATCTATTACGTTTTTTTATTTATTTTTTTGGAGTTTACCTGTAAGCCATAAATCTCCGTGTTTTGAAGTGCGACAGAATAATTGACATATTAGTTAGTTGTCAAATCTAATGTAAAAAAAAAAACGTTTGTATGGGAAATAGAAAAGGGCTGTTTTTATGGTTTTCCCAGTAATGAATCAATTTTTCTCAGCTTTTATACCTTCCCTGAACCTCCACGAACATTTCAAGACTAAGATAAGATAAATCCGTTCAGCCGTTCTCGAGTTTTAGCGAGACTAAGGAACAGCAATCCATTTTTATATATATAGAAGATATTCAAAATCTTATGCATACAAAATAATATTTACAAATTTCGTAAACTATCTGTAGTATGTTCTGAGATTTAGAAATCTTTTTGTATTTTAATCATTAATTGCTGAGGCAACATAATAAGATAATAAATAAGAATAAATAAGTATATTTCTATTATTTCTGAATGATAGAAATAAATCAATTATATGACATCTAATAATTTAAATAACGCTATTTTTTTAAAAGTCATACAAATACTTTATACAAAATGTTAATTCGTGTAGCAACTATATATTATATATATAATGTTGATGTCTGTCTGTGTTCACAATTATATCTCCGTCGCGACCCACCGCGTTTATGGTCTGAGAATTAAAGAAGAGTCTGTACTCACGTTGAATACTAATTTAGTTTATACTTAGTTTTATTAAGGATTATAATATATGTATATCTTTGCATATATATGGTTTTGTTACCATGATAATTTTATTTGACGCCAGTGATATGTCGGTACATGGATAGCCCACATCTAAACCTCGCTAACTATCATAAAGGTAGTTTGTTCTTATTACTTCAGTAACAAAGAGAACACAACAAACAAACGAGCGTTTTCGTCAAACAAAACACGTACAGCGATAACCATCTCTAATGAAAACCACTAGCTAGTTCTGATTGCGACCCCACTAACAATCTTAAAGTTGAGAACGCACACATACAAGCGTCCCCCTAGGAGACCCCACCCCAAGGAGTGGAAGAAGATATAAACATGACCGGTGTTAAACGACCTCCCCGCCCGCGCGACCGCCGTGTAAACGACGCTCACGTCAAACTGGGTATGTCCTCGCAGGGTTCTGTAGTAAATGGTCGGTGGGTGGCAAGGAACGAAAGAAGAAACCCCTCAGAGTCCCGGAGTGTCCCCCGCAAGGAGCCAAAGTGTAGCTATCGATCTGCTCCCCACCAGTTCTTAATGCCCACTTTGTAGGACGTCCATTAATTATGCCGGACGGCGTGAAATGGAACCTTTCGACGATTGGATGCCGGGAAATACGAAAACCGTTTTAAGGAAATTAGTTTGTTGTGCGCTGTTCAATTAGGCGTTTGTATGAGTTTTATACTACCCGTTTCTATTTCATTTGGGATTCAATATGCAAATACAACTTTGCATTCCTAATAGCGATTATGAAGCCGAATTATTACGTCCTTTGCATTCTTTAAGTCTGTAGAATGTTAAAAAAAATATATTATAAAATTTTTATCGTTTCTATTCTCATACTTAAACGGCCGTTTTTTTAAACATAAGCATATATTGTATATGACTGAAAGAAATACATATATATTAGACAAGAAATATATATTTTATAAGTTTATAACATAACGGAACGAAACGTTATTAAAAAAAAACTCGTCAAAGTCCGATATGTCAATGTCATCGATATTTAGACAATAAATATATTTGACATTTGACAGTTGACAGTTGACATTTAGAATAAATATTAAATGTTTTTTCTAATATTAAAGTAAAGTATTAATGTCTTATCGAGTGGTGATTAGTGAGCACACTCATTAATCAAACGGGGTAAGACGAGAACGTACAAGTGTTCGGTTACTGGGCTATTGTATACGGAGCTATTACTGTTTTAAATCAATATATATATACTTATAATATTATATACGCTACGAAGATATTTAATTTATGTTAAATAATATATAAGAAATATTACTTAATACTAGGTTTGTAAGCGCAAATAATTAGCAGTATTTAATGATGACTATGCAAATCAATAGGAGAAACCTTAATTAAAATTATATTCCATATAAACTCGTCTATGTCAACTAGTTTAAAATATATGTATAGTATAGAATAAGTCGTTAGTCTCAGAGCACTCAATTCGAGCCAGCCTCAGGTGTCACTGAAAAGGATCGTTCACAACTTTCAATACTATTCCGAATATATGTACTTACTTATATAATATAAATATATAATAATGAGATAGAATTCAATTTAATAATTACTATAGAAAACGCTTCGTTTTGGAATGCTTAGTTATCATAGAAACAAAAAACTAATGTTATATAGTTTATTTAGAAAAAATAACAATGAATTTTTAGATTTGTAAATATTAAAACAAAGCTTTATTAATCATAAACCAACAAGTCTATTCAATTTATACATTTTCCTATATATTTAATATCTATAATATGATCTTTACATAATAATATAATGTAAACACGTAACACGAAATCCCTAAACCCAAAAACGATCTTCTGTTGAAGACGGGCGTCGTGTGGGTGCGGGGTAAGACACTCGATCAATACCGACCCGACTTTCAAACTGCTTTCACCCTCACGAAAGTCGCCCCGACTACCCTCCCGGCCGAACCGTACGGGAATTACAAGGAGTTTTAATATATTAATATTACATTTAATATATATTATATATATAATATATTATATAACATGTTTTAGTTATAGTACAGTCAGCAAAATTATCGATCAATCTTTGATTACATCCATTAAATTAACATACGTATATTGTTATATATTTTTGGGAATGTATTGAATTTTTAAGCCATCGGACAAGAAGAATTTCTGAATTGTATTGGCTATAATTTTACTATGAAAAATAGATTTAAACTTTGTCATCTGTACAATAAGATCTCTTTATGTATACTATCAAAATGTTTGATCAGTTTCTCAGAATCTGTACAAAACTCTGATTTAAATAGAATATGTGTAGAATATTTTTTTTTTCTTAAAATATTTTGAGATCCTTACCTTTAGATGTAAATATTAAACTGCATTATTTTCATTGATTCGTTTCTTGACTCTTAATACTTTTTTCATATATTTGTTTTTGGATGGTAAGCGGCAAATCTGGGGATGAAATTCCTTTCATTTTTGTTTCAGTCAGTCATCTGAAAAAAAACAGATTTTTTTAATAATTTTATATGATAATTGGATTGTAAAGATATATATTTATTATATATAATTGGTTTTTAAAATAATATAATAGTTTAATAACAGCTCTTTGTATATATTGTCACGTCTTCGCTGAGTTGTCTTCACCCACCCCCGCGACATTCGTTACACCCGCCCCTGTCTTACCGACTATATATATTTTACATATAATATACATAAATTATATAATAAAGTATATAAATACATACTAATTAAATACAAAAAAATATATTTTTTTAATATTCTCCACAAAAAATATACCGTTTTATAATATTAACGAATTATAAAGAAAATTATAAATAAATTAACATAATAATATAAACAATTTTTATTTCCCACGCGTTCTTCAAAAAAGCTGTTACAATAATAGAATTAATGTTATTCAAGAGCAGGTTTTAAACCTGATATACAGATTTTAACCCTAAAAGGATGCTGAGATTCTCCGTGTGAGCAGAGCTTTGTGGGGTTTCTTTGACCCGGGGTCACTGGCCATGTACCGGAGATGTTTAACGGTTAAGTTTAATTCACAGGCTTGAAATTTTAAGTTCAGGTTATATGTTTGTGGTTACTGTTCTTAGTTAGAGGTCTTAATGGACCTTACAAAAATATACCTTTACGTTAATGAGAGCAAAGGGTTTTGTTCTATATCAAATAATTATTTAATTTGAATCGCTTAAAACAAACTATAGTCCTAAATATATGAAGCATCTTTCTATGTACATATATATGTATATCTCTTTGACATTTCCTTAAAATATTAATTAATTATTTTATATTATGATGTAAATGAAGTTTATAATAAATTAGCTTCGGTAATTATTTGAGAATTCTCTGTAACGTTTGATGTATCTCAACATTGTGGATTTGCGTCAAAACAGTGACGGCGCCAGTTTATAACGAATAAAATTACAAATAGGGAATTTATGTATTATTTATTCATAGCTAGAATTTTACTGCGACTTGACTCGTGTTTTTATGTTAAGTAAGTTTAGAATACTTATATTTATGATTCTAACATAGTATGCTCTTTTTAATATAACCATAATTGTATATATAATCATTAGCCTATCAGAGCCCACTGCTGAGCAAAGGCCTCTCCTCACATGGAGAAGGTTTGGGCATTAATCACCAGGCTTGCTCAAGACGGGTTGGTTATTTCAAACTTATAATTGTGAAATTATAATAGTCCAGTCATTATAGTAAGTTCACCTCGGAATGCGAGATACCCAGCTGTAAGTCTGTAAATAGTTGTATATTGACACCCTAAAAGTTGTCTCAAAACCTACATATGGTAGGGTGTAAGCAACTATTAAATTTCAAGTTCAAAGGTCACAAAAATCGGTTTTTTGCGCTTTTTTTGGAAATATCTCATTTCCTATGGGTTTTTTGCTATTTGTATTTATTATCAATATTGTAGAATACTAAATTCTCTACAAATTTTGTTTCAAAATTTTTTTTATACGGTGTACCGTTTTCGAGACAGAGGGCGGAGAGAGCGCGGTCACCGCATCACTTCAGGTCAACCGGTGCCTCCGGTCGAAAACGCGCCATATAAAGTTGATGAACTATCAATAAATCAATGATTATAAATATTTGTCAATTTTCAAAAAAGCAGAAGAACGTGGGGATGATTTTGGAGAATTGGTGAAAAGTCGTATAATTTTACAGTTTGATTTGATCGCTGCTGAAGCGAAGTACCATGTTGCTTGTTTTACAAACTTTTCAAATAAATCATCATCATCATCGCCTCTTGAGAAACCTCGTCAAGATAATCAAGCTACAGAAGCTATGTTAGAGATTTTCAATTACATCGAAAATAATAATGATTCTCAATTCACACTAAAAGAGCTTAAAGATGTCTTGACAGGGTATGTGCCAGATGATAAAACTATCATTACAAGACTACAACAGAAGTACTTAACTCGTAACCGATATCGTAATTACGAAGAAATTTGGAGCTTTCACGATCATTTCTTTCCGTGATGCACAAGCTAATATTCTATCAAAAGCTTGGTACGAAAGTAAAAAAATAGATCCTGAAGCAGAAAGGCTAAGAATTGTAGAAGCTGCAGCAGCAATTATTATTTATTATTAGAGAATTCTGCAATTACATGGAGAGGTAAGTGTTGTTAAATAAATTAATACTGAATAAAAAGTGGATAAGTTAGGAAAAAAATGATAAAATATAATATAATAGTTAATAAAAATTGACAAATATTTACAATCATTGATTTATTGATAGTTCATCAACTTTACATGGCGCGTTTTCGACCGGAGGCACCGGTTGACCTGAAGTGATGCGGTGACCGCGCGCTCTCCGCCCTCTATCTCGAAAACGGTACACCGTATAAAAAAAAAATTTGAAACAAAATTTGTAGAGAATTTAGTATTCTACAATATTGATAATAAATACAAATAGCAAAAAACCCATAGGAAATGAGATATTTCCAAAAAAAGCGCAAAAAACCGATTTTTGTGACCTTTGAACTTGAAATTTAATAGTTGCTTACACCCTACCATATGTAGGTTTTGAGACAACTTTTAGGGTATCAATATACAACTATTTACAGACTTACAGCTGGGTATCTCGCATTCCGAGATTCTTACCTAATTTAAGCTTAAATGACTGGACTATAAGCCCAGGTTTCGTCACGATGTTTTCCTTCACCGTCTGTCAGTGGTGTCTAAATATATACACGTAAATACATTCATCGTCAGTTTAACCTATTACTGTGAAATACATGTACTTTACTGTATACGTAATTAATCAGTTACTAAAGCAAGTGTTTCATAAAATTTTTGACATATTTGAGTAACAAATTCAAAGTCAGAATTCTATTGGCAAATTTTATTATTCAACCAGCACTCATATTATGAAATTTCTGTTTATTTCAAAAATATAATTTAATTGTATGGAATAAATACGTTATATTTGTATTGTAATAAATCTAAGTTTCCCCGTGAGAAGTGACGCATAACAAAAAGTGACCGTGTAGGTCATAAGGTTAGTATTTGACCGCTGGG